ATGTCTGCTATCTCTAAAGAATACATTATTAGATAAATTAAAAATATTAGGATTTAAAATTTCTTATAGGAACTGTATATAGTACACAGCTGGATTAGTTTTAAAAGACCTCAAAAAAGTTGACAATGTCATCTGATAAGCTCTCAAAAATTGAAGTGAGGAACAGAGCTGGAAAGGTGAGGTCCAACTGCCTCCCCCCATGCTGCCCAGGAGCAGAGACACATGTACCTGTTGAGCACTTAAAGAGTGGTGACTCCAAATTGAGATGTGCTGTCAGTATAAAATATACCAGATTTTGAAGACCCACTACTAAAAATGAATATCACAAATAGTTTTATGTTGATTACTTGTGGGAATAATATTTTGGATATAATGTCTTAAGTAAAATTTACCATTAAAATCAATTTGACCAGTTTTCTTATACTTTTAAAATGTGGCTTTCAGAAAATTTTACACTGCAGATGTGGTTGCTTTATATTTCTATTAAAGAGAAAAATGGAGTAACTTTGATTGGGCAAAGGGGAGGGAGGGTAAGGAGGGTGCATGGAGGCTGGAAAGACGGTGGAATGAGATGGATATCATTATCCTAGATACATGCAATACTGCACATAGGGTGTGATGCTATATAGTGTACAGCCAGAGAAATGAAAAGTTGTGCTGCAATTGTGTAGAATGGATCAAAATGCATTTTTCTGTCATATATACCTAATTAAATTTTTTTTTAAAAAATAGAGTACTAGTCTAGACTTTTTTAGTCAATGGCTTTATCACAGGAACATCCTCTGATGATATCTGATGATCTGGCAATCTGAATAAGTTTCTCACTCAGCTAGTTTCACACTCAAGTGAAACATATATCCAATTTCATTTCTTTTATAAAACTGCATGCTTGCTTTTGAATGGTAGAGTCTAAAACTTCTCATAAAGCCTGTTTAAGTTTCAAACTTTTGGCAACCATGTCAAAAGATGAATTGAAAATGAACTGAAAGGTAATGATTTAGTCAAGAAAGCCAAGAGCTTCCCTCTTCCTTGCAGAAATGTCAGGTTTTCATGGTTGTCACCTCTCCTCCAGTTTGCCAACCTATAGTATGCCAACAAAAAAGAATAGTAGGCCCAAACCAAACAAAGACATAAGAAAACTACAGATCAATATCCTTTTGGAATGCTATGCAAGAATCCTTAACAAAATTTAGTAAACTGAATTCAATAATACATTAAAAGGACTACACACTATGATCAAGAGGGATTTATTCCTGAAATGTAAGGGTGATTCACATATGAAAATCAACTTTATATACCACATTAAAAGAATGAACAGAAAAGAACTACACTTGATCATCTCAATGTAGAAAAAGCATGTGACAAAATTCAATGTCCTTTCAAGATAAAAACATTCAGGGGCTGGGGCTGGGGCTGAGCGGTAGAGTGCTTGCCTAGCATGTGCGGGGCCCTGGGTTCGATCCTCAGCACCACATAAAAATAAAAAAATAAATAAAGATATTGTGTCCAACTACAACTAAAATATAAATATTAAAAAAAGATAAAAAATTCAACAAACTAAGCATAGAAGGAGACTACCTCAACATAATAAAGACCACATATGAAAACTCCATAGCTAACACCATACCGAACGAATAGTAAAAGACTGATCAAGAACAAGACAAGGGAGATGGGGTTATGGCTCAGTGGTAGAGCACTTGCCTAGCACATATGAGGCACTGGGTTCGATCCTCAGCACCACATAAAAATAAATAAAGGTACTGTGTCTATCTACAACTAAAATTTTTTTAAATAAATTTAAAAAAAGAACAAGGCAAGGATGCCCTACCCTCTTTTACTACTTTTAATTTTATACTAGATCTAGTAAGAGCAATTAATAAGCAAGAAGAGAAATAAAAGGTATCCAAACGAGAAAAAAAAAAGTAAAATTATCTCTGTTCACAGATGATATGCTCTTATATACAGGAAACTTTAAAGGTTCTAAAACACTGTCATAGCTAATGCATTGAATTTAGCAAAGTTACAGGTACAAAATGAACACAGAAAAATCAGTGGTACATCTATAAACTAGAAATGGACAATCTGATAAAGAAACTTAAAATTAAGAATTTCATTTAAAAAGCATCAAAAAGAATACTTAAGAACAGATTTAATCAAGGGGTCTAAAAATTTGTACACTAAATGCTACAAAATTTTGCTCAAAGACATTAAAAATGACATAAATGAAACACACTGTATATTTGTGGAATGAAAGATAATTTAGTTAATATCTCAATACTAAAATGAATCTCTGGTGAAGAGGATGAAGAGGTAGAATTAAGAAGCAGGGTGGAAGGGAAAGTAATAAAAGCAAGACATCTACATATAACTTTCTATGTACATTTGGATTTTTGAACTGTGTAACTGTTTAACCTATTTAAGAAATGCACTAAATGAAAAAGAAAATAGGCAAATATTAAAATTGAAAACAAAATATGTTGCAAATCAATAATGTTAAAAAATTATTTAAGTGACTTTTGAATATACTATTCTAACTGTACTTTCTTGTTTATGGTATATGTAAGGACAAGGAGAACTGCAAGGAAACATAAATTCTATCCTATTTCTATTATTAGTGATACTGATTGTAACTTTAAAACCATATTTTGTATGCTGAAAAACAAAGAAAACAATGTCAATGTTTCAGGCTATGAGAAACCAAGATTTTCAATATAAGGAAAAATATAAAGCTCAAAGAATATGCTGTGGTAATAATGTGAATTAATACTGCATAAACTTGTGATTTTTAAAAATATCATCGTCCCTAGCTCTATCTATTGCAGACCTAGAAACCACGGTACCCCAATAGCAATGAGCACATTTAGTGCCCAGAGTTTGGTTTTCCAATAAAAGGAACTAAGGTTCCTTGGGAAAATGACTGATTCCGAAACCAGGCAGAAGAGTACAAGATGAGCCTAAAACATCAGAAAACAGACATGCTCAAAACTAACATCAAGGGGCATATCAAAAAGTCATGAAATGAACTGAAGGGGATCTGTTGATCAGGATTAGAATACTTTGAGCCCTAAGAGCATTTTCTGTAACTGATTATGAAAATCTCACTAAGTTTTTGGAGATGACTATGAGACCTCTTTACTCTGAAAATTAGTCATTCAAAAGGAAGAACTAAGCATTTGCCATGACTTTTTCAAGAGGATTTTCCCAATTGACAAGTGAAAGCACTTTAAAAAAAAAAAGGCTGGTGATGTAACATGGTAATAAAGCATCCTAGGGTTCAATTCCCAGTGCCAAAAAAAAAAAAAAGACAAAATTAGAGAACCACTATTTTGTAATACCTCATGAAATAACTGATTATTAATGAATGCATTGTTAGGAAATGAGAATATTCAATTTGATGCCCCCAAATCACCTGACAGTATCTGCTAAGCACAAAGGGAAAAAATGTACCTTTATCTCGGAAAGATAATTCACATAATTAAATTGAGAATCACTCACAATGGAACAACCTAGCATTATACTCTCTTCCAATTCTTCAAGATCAAGTAGTCAGGAACTTTCCTAAAATACTTGATCTGAATCTAATGCCTCCTTGACAAAAGGCACAGCAGATAGAGGACCAAATTACACTATGAAGAAGCATCAGACAAATGTGGAAAGTATCTACGGCAGGTCTGGTTCAGTCAATGAAGAGGTGAAAAGGTGAGAGCACTGTCCAACAAAGGGACTGAAGGGTTATAAGCAAATGACCCTCAGCTGGACACCAATGCAAAATGGCAAGTCAAAAATCATTTGGGTGGACACTGAAGTTGTGGCTCAGCAAGAGAATGCTCGCCTAGCACATGCGAGGCACTGAGTTCGATCCTCAGGACCACATAAAATAAATAAATAAAATGAAGGAATTGTATCCAACTACAACTTAAAAAAAAAAAAACACAACATGGAGGTGCTGGGATTGTGGCTCAGAGGTAGAACACTCGACTAGCGTAAGTGAGGCACTAGGTTCGATCCTTAGCATTATACAAAAATAAAATAAAGGTATTGTGCCCACCTATAACTAAAAAATTAAAAAATTGAAAAAAAATTGGGGAACCAGAAGTTACCCTTTTCTCAACTAGTCACTTTCTTCTTCATGCTGACATCAGATCTGCCTTTGGAGACAGTTCAACTGGATGTGCTAACCCCTTCGATCTTGTTTATCTTTGAGAACAGGATGCCTATAGAGCAGATCCTCTTCCAGTGAGCCGCTGAAATTGATTGCATCTAAGATCGCTGCCAGAGTAACCCCCCAAAAAACCTCTGACTTCATTATAATCCATCTACATGCTATAATGCCAGGACAGTTGATATGACAGCACAAGAATGAACCATAAAAGGAACAAAAAGAGGTGGCATCTGAATTCCTGGAAAATCTCCACTTCTTCACAGAAAGACATGAATATTCCTGCCTTTTATTGGCCTACCCTCCCCCTCATTTCTTTTACTCTATTATTAATACCCCCCCAAACCCCAACAGATTGAGAAATTGATTTGAGAGTTTATCTCCTACTTCTATTCTTGGCCAAGAATAAACAACCTTCCTTCTCTGCTCAGAGTTAGGCCTTATTATTGATTCCACAATTCTGAGCAGGGAAGAGAAGGGCCCAGTTTAGGGTCAAAACCTGGCAACAGAACGTTTGTACTCACTGGACCTTGCCTTCCATTAACAAGATGGTAATGGCATAATAGGTTCTAGTAAGACCAGTAAGTGACAGAAGACAAGGAAAATTTTACAAGTTATTAACTCTTGTCTACTAAGTCTTTGAGCTCATTATGCCTCTTTTAAATATTGTGGGAATTACTTTTGTATATAACAGTAATTATTTACCTACAATCTTTTGGGAAATGAATTGCTAAAAATTTATACTGTTATATTACTATAATGTGAAGGACCATTTGCCTAGGTCAGAAAAAATACAAACACACACAACTTAATCCCACTTGTTTTTTCCAAAAGAAAAACATTCAAGGTAAAACATGGACATTTAATAACCTTTAAATAATACATGAAATAATTTACATGCTATATATTCCCAAATGCAATAAACATAAATCCAATTGTATAAGACATATATACAATCTACTTTTTGCCAACATATACCCTTATATTCAGGATGTTATCTGATTTCTCAGTCCATGTGTGAGTATACACACACACACACACACACACACACACACACACGTCTAAATTGAAAATTAAGATAATAAACCAGAGAGTGGAATATAAGAACTCTACCCATGGAAGATTCTTAAACCATAATATGACTAGAACCAAGGCACAAAAGCTTCCCTTTGTGGTCATAAAGTTTCCTTTCCCAGTGCTTACATATGTAAGTAGGATTGGTTAATCACATATTATAAGTTATATTTCCGTTTAAAAACCAGTATTTTTCTTATACAGTATTACAGAACTACATTTGAAAAATAAACAGGATTAGGTAAGCTCACATACAATAAAACTTTCTTTCACTTGAAAAAGATGCTTACATTCAAAGCTAACAATAGATATAGGTGTAATAAAGAGATGCATGAGGAATCCTATGCAAATTTCCTAGTACCCTTGAGTTGTATGTACCTCATGCCACCCAGGTAATTTAAATTTTTGATTTTAAAGCCAGATGTGTGATATTGCCAATGGCAATTGATTTGTTGTTGTTTGCTTGCTTGCTTATTAAAGATACGTACTAATACATAGAAAAAACAGTTAACAAGGCAAAATGAAACACTTCCAGAGTTTTAGCTGCTTTTGTTAAATATAACCTAGGCTCCCCTTGGTGTCCCTTTTTTCCTTTAACATAGGGGAAAAAAAAAGGTTCCACATAGAACTGACTGTTTTAGAATTCATGCAGCCAAGCATAATCTAAAACTATCTGTCTACTTCCATTTTTACTTACCCCAAAGTTTTTGGGTACACTGAAAGTTAAATATTCTAGGAATAGCAACTCATTGGAAGGTAAGGCAGTTTAAAAATATATATGTGTACTATTCATTGTTTCTAAGAACAATTTTAGGGTTTAGCTCTTTACACTTACACAGTTATCAAAGGATTAAAGCCAACCACAAAATAAGAATCAATAGAATGCAGTAATCCATATATAAAAGACGGTAAAATGTGTTTGTATGTATTCAAGAAATCAATAATCTAAGCTACAAGTAATAAATCATCAAACGTAGCACTAAACAAATTACAATCAGTATAAGACCTTCAATTTCATTAATTTTGAATATGGAAATAGGACTGGCTAAACATGAATTAAACAGTACTTCTGCAACTGTTTATCAGGAGTATTGATGCATGCAACCCCTGCAGTAATGAGAGTGCAATTCAAACTAAATGAGGCTGATCAATAGAAAAACAAAGCAAACCCCATCTTGTTCTAGGCTATAAAACTTAAAGGTAAATAATAAACTGAGAATTTATTTTAAGGCTCTCTTAGAAATATTTTTCATGGCACTTCAATATTAAACATCACTAAAAGGCAGAATATGTAAATATTCATAGTTGCACAGTTACATAATTAAAAGTACATGCCATGTTAATTATTAAGAGATCATTTTGTTGAGTTTTCTTACCTCACAGTTACAATTAAGGAAAGCTATTCATGTTTTGCTGTAATTAACATATAAACCATACAGAAATGTCAATTCACTAGTGTACAGTGCAAATTGTGTTTTGAGTAAATATGGCAAATACCACTCATTTCTTACAGAACTGAATGTCATTCCTCGCTAGAAATCCAATTAAACTGACTTATTTTTCTTACAAGAGCAGTTAATTTCCTTTCTTCCACCATTCATGTACTGTTAAACCCCATTCTAACTCCCCTTTGGTCATGGCACATAGACCATCCTCACCATAATTCATTTCTTGTTCTATGTTCAGTCCAAAAAAAAAATGGAAAGTCTAACAGGTCATTCTTGCCACACCATATTCTAAGCTGACCACACCAGGTTCCGATTTGGAAAACTCTTCTGTATAATCACTGTAACGATTATCTGCTGGGTTGCTGCCCTCTATGGTTCGAAGCGCATCATTCACTGGTAGTAGAGTCTGTTCTTTAAGACACAGAGAAGTTTTGAGGATAGGTGATTCTGGATGAACTGAATGTAATAATTCCTTGGTGAGGACACCATCTGATTGCTTATTTTTACACTGCTTAATTTTCTAGAATAAATAAAATTTGAAAAAAAATTACACACCTCATGGTCAATATATGTTGGATTAAAAAATGTGCTTTTGCAAATGTTCTCCTTATATATAACACAAAATTACATCTTGAAAAATAAAATCTAGGGCACATGATACAACTTAAAATTCTGTTTACAATTTTTACTGTGGAAAATGCTTTTGTAAGTTTTTATATTTATTAAACAACAATCCACACTTGACTGCAGATCACTAGGCCTACATTTGAAAAAGACATATATTACCTAGAAAATATAACAAATATTTTATAATGAAAGAAATGTATATTAGACACTGTCTTTGAAATTGAAACTATATTAACAACCATACACTTATGACTAAAGGTCATAATGACTGTGAAAAATTTTTCTTACTGAGTCTTCCTACAATGGTTAGATGGGTGTACATGATAGGCTTTAGAATAGCAATAGAACTTATTATTATTATTTTAAATACAAAGGTGTCCTGTGGCAGAGTATTATGCTCTCTAAACCCTTGGGCTGATCTCCAGATAATCTTGTACTACCCATATTTTGGACTTCCTCTCTTTTCCATATTCTCCTACAATTTACTCAAGCAGTCACTACACCTTGTTATCAAAAAGATGAGTAAGGGACATCTGCCTGAGAGGCAGATGAGACAGCCTTACTAAGTTAAAAACAACTTTCTAGTATTTTTTAAAAATGCACATGCATTTTCTGATCCTTTCTGGTTATAAATGACAACAAAAAAAATATTAAAGGAAATTCTTAGAAGAGAGAGATTTCTTTTCTTTCTTTCTTTTTTTTTTTTTTTTTTTTTTGTTGAGGGTGGTAACAGGGATCAAAGCCAAGGGTTCAATCTTTATCACTGAACACATTTTCAGCCCTTTTTTATATTTATTTAGAGACAGGGACTCGCTAAGTTACTTAGAGCCTTGCTAAATTGCTGAGGCTGGCTTTGAACTCATGATCCTCCTGCCTTAGCCTTCCAAGCCGCTGGGTTTACAGGCGTGTGACCCCCATGCCCAGCAAGAAGACAGGGATTTCCTAATACACACTCAAAAAACAAAACGTAAGGATTGATCAGTTTAACTAATATGAAAATCAAAACATCTAAATAAAACATACACTATATAAAGTAGAAAATATAAGAATAAGCTGAACAAAGCTGTTTGTTAACACACATTTGTATTATACACAACCAGACAACTAGTGTCTTGTATGTAAAGAGCTCTTATAAATAAATCAATAAGAAAAAGGCAAATGAGCCAACAGAAAAATGTGCATAAGTTTGAATAGTTCATTCACAGAAAACAAAAACCAAATGAGTAATAAACACATGAAAAGTCACCCAACTTCATTTCTAATCATGGAAATTCAAAAGTGAAACAACTTAACAGAGCAAGTTAACTAATTTTACATTTTAAATATATTATTTTAGATACTTCAGAATACTTACAGATTCTAGGTCTTGAATATCCTTCTCTAACTGCTTATTTTGTTCATTCATGTTCATAATTATATTGAATATAGACTGCCTCGGATGCAATGTTCGATCAAACTGGTGGTACATGTTTCTCCAAAACCTTTATGAAAAAATAGTTTTTACCAAAACTCAGAAAGAATAAGCTCCAGTGTTCTATAGTATAGCAGGGTGATAATACTTTATAATAACCTATTATTTATTTTATGAATAATTAGAAGAGAGAAGCTTGAAGGCTCTAAACCCAAAGTAATGATGAGAAGATACAAACATTAGTTATTTGTTCAGTACACATAGCATCACATTGTACTTCATAAATATGTACAATTATTTTATATATATATATATATATATATACACACACACACACTTTTGGGGGGTACTAGGGATTGAACTTAGGGGTACTTGACCACTGAGTCACATCCCCAGCCCTACACTGTATTTTATTTAGAGACACAGTCTCACTGAGTTGCTTAGTGCTTCGCTGTTGCTGAGGGTAGCTTTGAACTCCTGATCCTCCTGCCTCAGCCTCCTGAGCCACTGGGATTACAGGCGTGCGCTACTGTGCCCAGCCAATTATTATATGTTAATCAAAAAGTTTAAAGTAATTGTTTAAAGACATGGAAATGCTTACTGTTCGGATTTGATCATTACACATGTATTATGCTATATTCCCTAAATATGTACACTTAGATAATAAATTAAACAATTAAAATAAACTGTGTTTGAGAAAAAGTAAATATAAACACTTCAATGATGCAAACTTACTTAAAATTGAAAGATACTGTATTTGGTTCCAAAACTGTAAACCTCTGAGATTTGGAACTGTAGAGAGGATTTAAGAACTTCTTTTGGTCATCCAAAAGAAATGGCCATAGGGAGTAAGTTTTCTCCTTCAACCTTAAGGTAATAAGAAAAATATAAAGATCTTTCTTAGAGATGCAAATTATTACTTCTAATATCATTTTCATAAAGCAAATAATTGTTTCCAAAGTAGATTTAAGTTTTAGTTTTTCTATTCAGTTTGATGTCTTATCTCTTTCATTCATAATCATGCAAATAAATCCATGTCTCTAAAACATAACACAGGTATACCATTTTCTCTATACTATACACTTTAAACAATTCCTCTCAAATCACACAACTTCGAAAACTTGGGTCTCTCTTATACCTATTTTAAATCACTGCACACATATATGTGGAACAAGGCACTACTAGAGCTATCTGTTTGTCCTTATTCTCTTAATCCCATATCTAGACCCCACTGATGTCAGTGCAGAGAAATAGGCAAAATTAGGACATTATGCAAGAGTTTTAAAAACCAGTTATATTGTAAATCTAAAGGAGATGGTAAAGGCAAAACAGTATACACTAGAATCCAGGAGGCAAAGAGAAAATCTTCTATTTTTCCATGATAAGAAGATGAGCCATAGGCATGTTCTTAAAGAAAGACTACTATTAAATATACCCTTTATTTCTATTTTCTCATTTCTGAATATGTTTGGTACTAATTGAGAATAGATATTTCCTAGCTTTGTACTCCAAGTCACCTGCTTCAAATTATGATTAACTCTTATGAATGATTATAACGCAGAGTGAAAGTCTTAATGTTTTTGACATGTTTGTCCTGACATATTTTATTTGTTATTGCCTTTATACATCTTTTTTAAAATTTTTTTTAAGAGAGAGAGAGAGAGAGAGAGAGAGAGAACTTTTTTAATATTTATTTTTTAGTTTTCGGCGGACACAACATCTTTGTTTGTATGTGGTGCTGAGGATCGAACCCCGGGCCTCACGCATGCCAGGCAAGCGCGCTACCACCTGAGCCACATCCCCAGCCCGCCTTTATACATCTTTAGAATTTTCTACATCCTCAGTTCTGCCATCAACTGTATTAGAAGCATGTGGCTATCTTCAAACTATTACCAGATTTAGCTTCTCTAATATGTCATTCAGATGTTCAAGAATCTAGAACTGTTCTTTACTGCTACTGAAAATAATGTAAATTCAGAAGCCAAACCTAAAAAGATATATAGGACCTTTCGGTCTTAGCCCAGATCTCACCTGCACCAAAATACCACCTGGTTGGGAAAGAACAGGTGAGTTAGGGTCATACAGTGTTTCAGAGGTTATGGGGGACCCCACACAGGAACAGACACACTATAGTCAACACAGGTAGACTTAATTTCTCCAAAGAACTATCTCTTCAGAAATGTGAGGAGAGCTATAAGGCTCCATATTATCTTAAAACAAATCAAATCTTAAACATTCTACCACACTTTTAAACTAGTGACCACTGTTTTGTGGGAAACAAATTAATCTAAAGACTTCTCTATTCTAAAATATACATTTGAACTAAAAAGGAGAATGAGGGAAGTTTCTAGGGTGTAGGCAGTGTTTCCTTTTTTCTCAGTGCTGGTTATATAGGCAAGTAAGATAAGATTTAATGAGCTGCACACTTAACGCTAAATGTACTTTTTTGTATCTACATTATACTTCAAAATATACTTAAAGATATATTTTTACTATTAACCTGCGGGGTGGGGACACTAGGAGGGTATTTAGCTTTAGAAATATAGACAATAAAATCTTCACAATAAAATTTAGTTCTATTTCATACTGTTGAGCCATTTAATTAAGTCCACCATAATTTATGGCTGTGTGACTTCAGCTGTGTAGGAAAAAAAAGAGAGCCCATTTTCATTAAATCATCTTACTTGAGATCTTCTCTTTCCTTCTGACAATTTCCAAGGAAGTTTCCAAATTGGCATGAATGAATGTGCTCATGGATCTGAAGAAGAAATGCTTCATTGAATTCAAATGCTTGTGGAAACTGTTCCGTCAAATGCCACACACATTCCAAGAATTGAGTAAACACTGGTGAAACTTCCTTTGGGTCACCATCCAAATGGCCACACCTAACCACCCCCACAAGAAAGCAAAAACTTTAAAAAAATGCCTCTGAAAATAGTCCATTGTTCAAGTATCGTTAAACATACAAACTATAATTCTAAAATGCACATTAACACAAAAATTATCATTTTTTATTGAAACCATTTATCCGTATGAGTTTTGTAACAACAATTTTAAAGGATGTGTTACCTTCAAAATACTACAATTCAGCCAAAAAGGAAGGTGATAGTCATGAAAATAACACAGATATTAGAATAAAAAGCAAAGACAAAAATTAAATCTGTCTTCAAATACAATACTATGTAAAACCATATCTCTCTCTCCTCCCACCAGACATAAGTGTTAAACACAGAAACACTGTAGTACCCTATTTTACAAAAGACATAAATGTACAACTGCCACTCACCTCTCTGAAAATTTATGTCCAAATGAGATCCAATCTTTTTCTATTAAAACCTTAATGAGAAAAAGTAAAATATACTTTGTAATTATTTGTAACTTTTTTCAAAATGGTTTAAATTCTATTAGCTTAAAAACAGCATTTATACTTTTAGATTATGGTTGAGAACAGAACAACAAAAACAAAAAAACACTACAGGCAAAGATGTCTAGAACCTGCACTAGTGGTGGGATTAAAGAGTGAAAGTATATAAAATGAAAGGTCTCATGACAAATTTGTTTATTATATTTTAAGTGAAAAGTGCACGTTATAAAACAATATTACACTTAAATTTTTGTATGTAGGAAGATGACATAGAAAAGGCTAGGAAAATCAGGCTGCAGGCCTATACTCCCATCTACTCAGTAAACTGAGGCAGGAGGAATACAATTTCAAGGCAAGCCTGGGCAATTTAGTGAGAACCTGTCTCAAAATAAAAAACAAAAAGGGCTGGGGATGTGGCTCAGTGGTAGAATGTCCCTGGATTCAATCGCCAGTACCAAAAAAAAAGTAAACTAAAATGCTAACAATGGTGAACTCTGGGTAGCAGACTGAGGTGTGAACATTAAACCTTTTGGGCTTACTTTTACATTACTTATAACAACTTTTTTGTGAGAAAAAAATAAATGATCAAAAAGAGCAATGAAAATCACAGTTTAGATTCAAACCCAAATGTTAATATTTATCCTCCTGAATGGATTATCTTTATTTATCTTTCTTCTCTGTCATAGGCTTCTTTATTTATCAACTCCACTCAAATTCAGACTTCTAATGTTTTCAGTCTAATTTAAACATATCTTCTTAGTATTTACTATACCTTATAATTTCATTATATAATCGGCAAGCACATTCTCTTCACAGTGTCAACATTGCCACTTTCACTTCTCCAATTTTGTCTTAAATCTATATCATTTAGGCAAAAGGCCATATGTCATAATGGTTAAGGATGAAGTTTCTAGAGTACAGGCTTGGGCTCAAACCCTGGCTTCACTACTTCTTCTCTTGTGTAACCTTGGGACAGGTTATCTTTGGGCTGGAATCACTGATTTCATTCTAGGTCCTCTGCATCCATTTAGACACATCCACACCTAAATCTTAACTAGATTATCTCACTGAACCTGTTCCTTTGTTATGTTCAGTGAGTAGCAGGAGAGGGGCACCACCCAAGCTAGAAACCAGTTCAGGAGACTAAAGGAGGGCTCTTCTACCACACACACTCAATTCTGATTCTAAGTCCTTAACATTTCTAAAACCCAGTGCCTCCCTATCCACTATGTGTTGCTACCTTAGTTCTGGTCCTTTTTTTCCCTCTTCACTTATTTATCATGAATGGTTTCTACACTGGACTCCCAGTCTCTATTTCTTCTCCCCTCTGCTTTCAAGACACAAACCATCTTTCAAGAACATAAATCTAATTAAATTACTTGAAGTTACTGTTTTTTAAAGGCTAATGTTCAATGCCCAAAGAGGGTAAAGTCTGGGCTGGGGTTGTGGCTCAGTGGTAGAGTGCTTGCCTAGCATGCATGAGGCACTCAGTTCAATCTTCAGCACCACATAAAAATAAATAATAAAGACACTGAGTCCACCTAAAACTAAAAAATAAATATATTTAAAAAAGAGGGTAAAGTCCAATTCTAGCCCCTTTTCTTCTTCAGGACCCCACTCTAACACTCTAATCTCCATGTTTCAACATCATCTGCAGTCACCTAAAGGGGCAATGCTGTAGTTCACATTGCTCCTGTTACCTGAGACACTCTCAGTACCCCGGTCATTCATTACATAACTTCATTTAGACGCCCAGCAAACAATTAAAGTCAAACACGCCAAAGAAAATATTCTTCATTTCTAGCAGGGTGCAATGGGTACAGTATACCCTGAAATTCCAGCTCCAGGAGGCTAAAACAACAGCCTCAGCAACTTACTAAGACCCTGTCTCAAGAATAAAAAACAAGACAGGCCCGGTGGCACATGCCTGTAATCCCAGCTGCTCAGAAGGCTGAGACAGGAGGATCACAAATTTAAAGCCTCAGCAATGGCAAGGTGCTAAGTAACTCAGTGAGACCCTGTTTCTAACTAAAACAAAAAATAGGGCTGGGGATGTAGCTCAGTGGTTGAGTGCCCCTGAATTCAATCCCTGGTTCCCACAAATTAATTAATTGATTTAAAAATTAAAAAAAGAAAAGAACAGGGTTACCCTGGGTTCAGTATCCAGTACTGGTAAAAAAAAATTTTTTTCCTTATTTCCATATGTCCTATCACAGACTGAATATGTTAGCAGCACAAAACAATAGTGCTGAAAAGGGTTTGGTGATTTTAAATCTTTCTTTAAGATGTCACTATTAAAAAAATCTAGGGGGTTGGTGATACAGCTTAGTAGTAGAGCACTTGTCTAGCATGTGTAATGCCCTAGGTTCAATCTCCAAAACCATTATCAAAAATAAATAAATAAAAAGTAAAAAATCTAGGGCTAGGAGCATAGCTCAGTAGTATAGCACCTGCCTAGCATGACTGAATCCTCGGTTCAATTTTTAGCACAGGGGGGAAATAAAATCTAAACTTATGAAAAATTTCTAGTATTTCTTCATTTATTAAATATACCAAAAGATGTGAAATTTGAAAGCTAATCTGATCATGTGTTAAAAAGTAAAAAACAAGGACTGGGGTTGTGGCTCAGTGGTAGAGCACTTGCTTAGCATATGTGAAGCACTGGGTTTAATCCTCAGCACCATGTAAAAATAAATAAATAAAATGAAGGTACTATGTCCACCTACTACTAAAAACAAAATTTTTTTTTTTTTTTTTAAAAAGCAAAAACCAAAAAGTCCAGAGCCATTTTTGGGGGGGTACCAGGGATTGAACTCAGGGGCACTCAATCACTGAGCCACATCCCCAGCCCTATTTTGTGTTTTACTTAGAGACAGGGTCTCACTGAGTTGCTCAGTACCTTGCCATTGCTGAGGCTTTGAACTTTCGATATTCCTGGCTCAGCCAGGATTACAGGCATGTGCCACCACGCCCACTAGTTCTTTATTTTCACAAGACATGAAATGTGTTCAATGGAAACTTAATCTTCACATATAAACATGCCCAATATGTTACTACACCTAACAAATAAAGGTGTTTTAAACAGAAAGTTCCCTTCAGAATCTAATTTTTAAGTATTTTTATATGTGCATTGTTTTACATTAATTTTTTAAACAAAATGTTACAATTTTATTTTCACTATAACATTTAAGATGGGAAAACAAATTTCTAAATCTAAAGTTTTTGCCAAAGATATAGCATGAGTGGAAATCTGTCTAAAACTGGCTCGAGATTTCTCAACCTTAGCAGTATTGACATCGGACCAGATAGTTCCTTGTTATGAATTTGTCCTATATAAGGATATTTAACAATATTTTTGGCCTCTACCTGCTAGATACTTGCACCATTGCCTTTCCACATAAAACTGTCTTATAACATTGCCACTGTTCCTTGGGGAGACAAAAACACTTCTATTTGAGAACCACTAACTGAATAAATCCTTACCATGAATCCTTTGATCGTCCTGTAGTAGGAATCCAATAAAAGTGAACCAAGGGAACACACCTGTGAAGTTCTATCCCACCCATCAGAACAATGTACTAATACACTTGCATTTTCGACCATTATTGCCTGAAAAGAAATATCACATACTTAGATTCTAGCAGAATGCCTTTTACATATATCTGAAGTTTATTTACTTGAAAACCATACTATCAGCTATCACATTACAAAGGAGAGCTATATCTGCAATGATGTTGGCATAGCATACTTTAAAACAAAAACAAAGCAAATAAACAACAACAACAAAAAGAAAGTATCTATATTGAATACTACATGATATTTTCAAAGCTCAAATTAAAGTGAACCTTATTAAAGAGCTAAGTAATAAAAAGTCACCTGACCAGACTATGTACCAGTACCTAATAGGATAAATCATCCTTCCTAACCATTATATATGCAAAGTTCAACATGAAAAATAATTACTTTGGCTAGGAAGATTGCGGCATCCATAACAGCTTTGATATGGCGAAGCCATCCTGAGCTTTCCAATCCAGAGTAGAAATCATTGACAGAAAGCCCTCTTGTACCATTGACTGAAAAAAAGGGAGAAAGTTTTTTCAGTTAGAATGGGGCTAGAATTTCTACTGGTCCTTCTAAAGATTTTTCTAGGTAAGTAAGTTGAAAAAGAAAGGACAAAATGAAATTATGAAAAGATTCAATTAGAACCTTAATAATATATTTTGAAATACATTTTTCTATCATTCCTGTACTTAAAAGAAATTGATACAAAATCCCTTTTAAATATTTTTTAGGAGCCAGGCGCGTGGCGCACACCTGTAATCCCAGTTGCTGGGGAGGCTGAGACAGGAGAATTGTGAGTTCAAAGCCAGCCTCAGCATCTGTGAAACGCTAGGCAATTCAGTAAGACCCAGATTCTAAATAAAATACAAAATAGGGCTGGGGATGTGGTTCAGTGGTCGAGTAAATACCAATAAATAAATAGATAGATAGATAAATAAATAAATAGATAGATACATAGATAGATTTTTTTAGGGCAGATGTTTAACTAAAACTAGTCTTCTATTTTAATTTTTAAAATTTAACATCATGACTGGAAAGATCTTAATATTTAAAAGAAACAGTATCATAAATTAATCTTTATTGCACTGACTATTCAAAAATAATTATCTAACAATAGCAATTTTTGCAAAACCATTAAAATTATATTAACAGAGACACCACAACCCAGTCAGAACTACTGAGTACTTGAAATGTGGCTAGTCCAAACATAGCTGTGTTCTATGTGTAAAATACACACTTGATTTCTAAGACTTAAAATTTCATTACCAATTTTTATATCAACATTAAACAAGTTTTTAACATTAAGTAAATTTTTAAAATACGACTTGTTTCTTTTTACTTTAAATGTGACTAACAGAGAATTTTATAATACATGCAACTAGCATTATATTTCTATTCAATAAAGTTATCTATAAGCAAGAAAAATCATACCTTCCAATAATTTCTGAAGGCTGGACCTCATGACATGAATATTTTCTATTCCAACAAACTGAAATCTAATATTAGAATAGTTGTCTTCATTTTCATAACCTTTTCCAGCTGCTCTGTTGGCCATCGCATTCAGCTAAAATTTAAAATTTTAGAAATTTAGAAACAAATTACTTTTATCTTTTGATTTACTAAAATGTCATAAAAACATTAAACAAGACATTATCTGGAAGAGATTTTGAAGGAATCCATCAAAACTAAATAAGCTACCATTTTTTGGTAAGCAAAATGTCACATTATCAACAATAAAGAATTGTTACTATAAAGTAACAATATATATGATTATCATATAAAGGAAAGGACTCAACAGGAAATACCCACAAAAGTTCATGAAGCCAATTCAGCTATCTGCAATACTTCAAAATTAAAATAAAGGCATATTTCCTATATAAATCTTAAATGACTGCAGAGCTAGCAAGCTTTTCTTTTACAGAATGAAACTGTGAGATTCACTTCAGAAGAAGCCTAGAGTAAATGATCCACAAGGCTCATGAAAATCAGATCTGAAACATGCCTCCAACTTATTGGAGATCCTTCACATTAGAGATTCCTGGAGATCTATACACTGTGTAACATAGCATCTGACCTGCTAGCCTGATACAGCTCTAAGAATTAGGCCCAAAATAAACTAGACTCTAAAGACTGCCCATAGGTACATAAGCCTATGGTCTTTGGTTATTACAGCAAATGTTATCACAGGTACACTTAGGATTTGAATACTTACTTCTTTCAGACTAGGATTTCATATGAAATGTTACTTTACTATTCTTTGCTTATGAACTTGGATGAAAGGGAATCTAAAACGGAAGTAAATGTAGCTTTTCACTGGGCCTCAGGGTGATAACAAGTATATTTAAATGACATCTACTAACTCGCTAATTATAAGTAAAATTAAGAGTTAGATATTAAAAATGTTTCCATTATCACTCCTTGATTTTATTAAGTTTAACTAGCAAAGCAATTAAAGATATATTCTCTGTGTAGAAGATAATTATATAAGTAAGAGCTATTAGAATTCTTGAATACAAAGTTAAGACATAAATCTTCAAAGTCTTTTTATATCTTAGATGTGAACTCCTTAGACTTTCTTAGTCTGTTTTTAACAAAATATTATCAATTGCCAATTTCTAATACTTCCTAATTGACTCAAATTAATCTCATTTTCTGCATTCTCCATTATTTTTTCGAGACTGCATAAAGATGAGAATTACTCTAAAACAGCTAACAATTCCTTTTACAAAGCTGCCTAAAATTGCTTGTTTTATGTTGCTCACTCGCTGTTTCTCATCGCTTTCTCTTATTTTCTCATCATTCCAGATTTTTGAAGAAATTCTCACTATAATTCTGCCAATGTCCTTTTGTGTAGCCCACCAGCTCTGCATTCGATGCTATAATAAAAATTAAAAGTAAAGTTAGCTGTTACCACTGAAGAATTTAATTACTTTAATTTCAGGGTCCTATGTGAATTGGCTATTAAACTGAGCTCATAAAAAGAAAACTGGATTCTGACTCTATCCCAATGATAAAAATTTAGCCTCATACCCCTAACAGAACAATAATTTCCTATTCACTATAATTCTCTAGTCAATGTTTCCTAAATTAACTCACTGTTTTTCCTTTTTTAAAAAAATATTTTAGAATAAGATTCATTATTTTAACAAAAAAGTGTTAATTAAAAATTTCATAAAAAACAAGTTAAGAATTTATAACTTTTGATGTTACACACTATTTAGTATTTCTTAACAATAATGTAAGACCTGTATACTACCAAGAACACTATAAAATTCAGCTTTCCTAAATTAATTAGTGTGTGTATATGTATGTATCAGATGCATGTGTCACATATCAGAAGACATAAGAAATCACCATCCAGGTTACTGAGAACAATCCTTCTAAGTTGATATTCCAAAAAAGAATTGATTTCCTTTGTATTATTAGCCTTGGTTAATTTAAAACCAGGACTCAGATATTTTAAATATGGACAATTTATTACCTCCCCCCATTAATTAAAGTAACAGAGATAAATAAAGTAACAGATTGTACTGTATTTGCATTACATACTTTGGGCCGGGTATCCACAACATACATGTAGCGATTGACTGGATTGGCTTTACTAATTGCTTGAAGCAAATGTTCATCCTCAAGGCACCTGGCACTGAATCCTGACAGTGGTTGACTACATCGACAAATGGCAGCCTAATTTTAACAAGACAGAAAACAGATTATGCAAAAAAAAAAAAAAAAAAGCTTAAGAGAAAAAAACTCAAAAGTTAAAATCAAATATGCAATTGTTTAAAAGATTGATGTAATCGAATACATTAATGTTGAAATCCGATTTGAATTAAATATTCTTTCAATATCCCGATGTTCCCTAAGTTTTCCCAGTATTCTCCTAAGACAACTAAATGCTTCCTTAACTAGTCTAATAGAAACAAAACTTAGGTCTTAAGAAAAATCACTTAGTCAATTCTCTATAGAGTTAAGATATTTGCATCCTATGCTCTACTTTAATTATAGGATACTTTCAATTCCGGTTAAGTAAAGGAATAGTCAATCGTGTAAAACATGAATTTTTAAAGTAGAAACATTTAAACATCTGAAAGTCCCAAAGACTTTCAGAATCTCTAACTGAAACAGCAATCTTTTTATAAAGTGAGATATAAAATAACAAAAGTAACATTCAATTCAAATTTGGATTAAAATATAGTCAACCTAGGAAGGCAAGAATATCTTTTGAGAACTAGGAAATGACTGAATTCCCTATTAAATTTACTATATTTTATTTTTTTTTTTTTTTTTTTTTTTTTTTTTTTTTCCAGTCATCTTTCCTCTAGTACCCCTACCTC